GTCCCACTTCCCTCAGTTCCTCTCCCTTGCCTCAGTCCTCTTCCCCTTCCTTCAGGTCCTCTCCCCCTATCCTAGTCCTCCTCTTCCCCTTCCTCAGTCCTCTCCCCTTCCTCTGTCCTCTGCCCCCCTTCCTCGTCCTCTCCCGCCTTCTCCTGTCCTCTCCCCTTCTCTGTCCTCTCCCCCCTTCCTCTGTCCTCTCCCCCCTTCCTTGTCTCTCAAGGGGGAGAGGGGGAAAAGAAACCATCCATGAAGCACACTAGTGATGAATTGATGAATTCAGAACTTCAGAAAAAATTCAGTCATTTCTACATCAATCGACCCTTACGAAAGGCATTATAACAAGAATGACCTTGCATGTTTACCCCTCCAGAGGCTCCCAGTGACAGATTATGCACAGTAAACGTGTCCAGAGGTCCTCAATTACAAAAATTTTCTGCATGTCAACACATCCAGAGCAGTCAAAGGATTGAATTATAAAATACACTTATCAACCACAATCAGAAATTTATGGTATGAAATCTTCATATTGAGTATCTGACAATGCATTCCCAAACAAATCCCAAACTTATTTTAAGATTTATTTAGCACATTCTTACAAAACTAATGAATTTTACTCAAAACTAATTAAATCCAACATGAATTACGAATATATAATAAAAAAAAATACTCACACGAGCACTGGAGTTCATTTGTTGGGGACCTCTCTCATACATTTGATTAAGAACAGGAACAAGAAAAGCAGCTGTCTTGCCTGAACCTGTTTGTGCACATGCCATCAGATCACGTCTTTTCGTAATTATGGGAATTGCATACTTTTGCACTGGTGTGGGCTTATCATAGCGGGCCAGAGCAATATTGTTTTGAATAATTTCAGTCATCTGTACTTCTTCAAACTGGAAATTGCAACACAGAAAAATTAAACCCCATGGTATATTATTATATATACAATTCTAAAGTATTATGAAAGCTAAACCTAAATCCTAAACTTTTTCGAAGAAGTGTTACCAAACCTACTTTAAATACATTATATACAATTAAGTCTTCACATAAATCAGCTGTTATGGTGTCATTCAATCGAGAATTTGAACATCGCTTTTGTGACATTTAAGCTCTCAAATGACACCATAACAGCTGATAATCAGTCAGATGACACTAGGAATAAATCTAAGTATAAACCAAGTGAATATAAGCATTCACAGATTCTCCTACTTTTAAACAAATATATTACTATGATTGGGGAGGAGGATGATTTCCTTAGTCCAAAAACGAACTGAAGAGTGACATTTTCACAAGGTCATTAAATTCATCTGTTAAAAATTTGCAAATTTTCAAATCCAAACTTAATTAAAATGCAATACTCTCATTTTATAAATTAGTTATGAATGAACTTACACTGTTGATGGGTGGAGGTACACTGTCTCCAGTTGCCTCCACAGGAATGTCCTCGTACTTATTGAAGTTAATGCCTGTATTGCTTGAGCCAAACAGTTCAAATTCCAATCGCTCATCCCGTGGGGTGAGGGTAGTCCAGTCAGCTTCTCGGCTATGGCCATCCTTCCAACGACCACCGCCGCCGCTGCCGCCACCACCACCACTGCTGCTGCCGCTACCACCACCATAACCGCTGCTGCCACGGCTGCTTGGTGGTGGCTCTTGCCAACGATCATTGCGCATGCTGGGTGGCTCATTGCCACGGTCGTTCCAGCGACTACCGCCACCACCTCCACCGCCACCACTGCCGCTGCTTCTACTACTTCCCCAATCATCTCGAGATCCGCCACCGGAGCGATAGTCTCTATCTCTTTCCCCTCCACGCTCCCTCTCACGTCGATCGTCCCAATCGCCATTTGCATACCCGTAACGGTCATCAACCCTCTCATCTCGCATGTCATCTCGGCGGCCGCTGCTACTGCCACCTCTGTAACTTCCTCCACTGCTGCTGCTGCCACCACCATAATCACCACCTCTACTTGCCTGCTGACTACCAGCTGTAGGAAGAAAGCAATATTAGTAATTCATTAAATATTTCAGGCTCTTTTGAAATTGCCTTGTTTAAAACAATTCCATTTCACACAATTACTAGAGAAAAGGGCAGTACCAACATTTTTCGAAGCTTCACAACACTTCTTAGATATTAACAATAACCACTGCACATCATTTGATTTATGTCATCTCAATACTTTAAAAAGTTACAAAAGTATATTTAAATCCCTTGAAAATATATAAGAATATGCACACATTTACTCTAAACTATACTATAAATAAATTCTTTCAGAAAATAAAAATAACCACTAGCTGATTCTGGAATATGTACAAATCATGAATGAAACAATTATTCTTTTTCACTTGATTACACATGTATCTACGAACACCATCAAGGTTCCTTTCAATTCTTGTAGAGAAAATCTACTTTCCACACAAAGAAATCTGCAAAATCTCTAAATTACTTCCTGAAGATAAGAGAGAAAACAATGAAGTTTCACCACTAGCCAAGAGAAAGTCAGCAATTATACTTCAGAACACATCTAAAGAAAGTTTAATATACAATAAAAGAAGCAGAAACATTGGTAACTTGAAATTAAATTATAATTTCAGAGGATTCACAAGCAACTTTTATAATCGATTTTGTTTAAAAAAAAAAATTGTGACTTATTTTAAAAATCCTTCAAGTGACTACTGCCAAGCAGCAGAATGATATTTTTCCCATGCACAATAATGGATTCTTATTACTAGCATATTCACTAATTTCGACCACCTTTGTTCTCCTAAAACACACAGTATTCATGCAAGCCACAACAAAAATTCTCAATATAGCCACACACTGTATTAACACAGACAGCATGAAATCAATCCTATACAAAAAAGAAAAAGCTTTCATTCTTTTTCTCAATGTTTTAACATTGGCATGCAGAACTTCATGCTTCTTTCACACCCACAAAACTTCATTCCATCTCTGGGCAATGCAAAATGCTTCAGTTAATATATACTCAGAGCAATGTTACATCACAATATGGAATTTGACACTACACACTAAAGCCAGGGATAGAAACAGTACCAACTAGAACAAGTTCAATTTTGAAAAGGAGGAGGGTCTTATTGATTTCATAATCCCAGCAGGTTAGAAAGTCTTTATTCAACAAAATTATGTAACTGTTGTTATTCGGCATACTCAGACATTAAGATGTTTTACCTCTCGAGTAGCTTCCTCTGGGAAAATCCCCACTATCACGACTGTCGTAGAATGACGATATGCCACTTGATTGATAGTCTGCTCTCGCACAAGAGAGAATGAATGTTAGAAGAAACGTTTTTCATACAACCTACTAGGGAAAATTTGGATACACTAATTGGGATTTACAGAAAAATTATGTTAACTAGTGGTAAAAGATATTTCAAGATGAAATCAAAAATGATTGGGGAAAGCATTGTCCACGTAAAATTTATTTCATGTAAGGTAGAAAGAAATACATCTTTGCCTTCATTAAAGAAACCCTTATTTACAGGGATAACAAAGAAACAATTAAATTTTGCAAAACAATTTCAAATACTTTCAGAACATAAAAGGAAATAATATAACTCTACCAAATTAAGTCTACTAATTATGGCTTACAAAGGTTTTCTAACAAAAAAAATAGTTTAGCAATTTCAATAAAAGTTGTTTGCACTCTGTTTAACTTCTTGCTTTTACTAACAACAAGAAGCTCAACTTTTGCCGTCCAATATTTCTCTACCAGAGTTAAGGAAGGACATCTACTTTTACAATAGATTTCCAGGGTGACTCTGGTAAGGTTTTGCATTGTTTGTCCTGACAATTCATCACAAGTTAAAGAATTTCTAAAATGTCCTATAACAAAGTCAATTATATATACATTCTTCAGCACTTCCTATTCTTCACACGAATGAATTAATTACTCTTATGTTGATATTTAATATCAAAAACATTTTAATGCAGATGAAACAAATTGCCTTTTCATAAACTAAATTAATTTTTCTTAAATTAAGAATAATTCTCAAATAATATAATATAGCAATTGTGCTAGTAAATTGCTGTTAACATTGGCACCTAACAATGTATACATGGGAATGTATCAATGTAACCAATATCTTTCCGAGAAGATAAGTATTTCAATAAAATTTTCTTTACATGCATTTTATTGTTTTTTGAATTCCACTGGCAACAGCACATCTTGTTCAGAAATTTGTTTGTTGAACTATAGAGATCTTGATTTGCCACATTGTGCTAGACTAAGCACCCAAGTCTCGCAAAAGAGACACTTGCATTACTTAAATACAAAACAATTCCTGAAACATTAACTTACTAGTTCTCGTATTTTAAATTCTAAAACGAATCTCCGGAGAGAATTATTTAGAAGTAACAACATTCTACTTATGCCATTTTTAAAATGTATATTAATTTCCTGACATTCAATGCACACTTTTTGGTGATCTAAATTCCATGTTCTCCTATACATGCAAGGAAAAGAAAACAACAAACCTTTATTACGAAGGTGTGGGGGCACGTAGCGGCCGCTTCCTTGCTGCCGACTACCCTGCAAGTCCAGACCAGCAAACTAAAACAGAAAATTGGAAACGTTGAGAATATTGTTAGCCGCGACCCTTATCGGCAGAATTATTTCGACATGGTTAAGTTTGCCCTGCTTGAAATAAAGATACCACTGCATCAATTACTACATTTAATTTAAGCCTTTTAAGGCATCTGATGGAAAGATTTGAAAGAAAATTGATAATATTTCAATACAAGTAATAAAAAAGGGCAATAAACGGAAACGGTATGTTCACCCCCTTGCCTACTTTCGTGCTTAGTGGGCATTTAAAGCACTGACGCCATTACACGACGTGTCTACGCTGCGGCCCAAACATTTCAACATCACATTAATATATAGCAACTACATTCAGCAAGCTCAATAACAGGGGTAACATTGGGAGATAAATTAATATTGTACGATTCTACATAAACAAGAACACAGACTTTAATCGATATCTACATCCGTTAGGCCTACGTCGCCTACAACTCTGCATGCGCTCTTACTACTTTGTTTAATTCCACCATGCAAGTATTTGATAATGTTACAATAAATTATTTACCTGCTGCTCTAGACCTGATCCATTTTGGTTGGGTACATTACTCATATTACTATGAATCAAGACGTTTGTTTAGAGAGCCTTCTTTCAAGCGTCGTCTTTTCAGGAAGATCTCACACAAAGGACGTATGCATTGACTTTCTCTTGGACAGAGCAACGACGCAATTCGTTCCAGTGGTATCGTCAGTGAGTAGTTCTACGTAATTTCAACTAGGGTATTTTCCTTATCTTTACCATTTTGAGTAAAATATTTCATCGTGTTTTTGTTTCAGTTCATTTTTTCTTCAAATTTATTTGTCATATTCATCTTTACTAGAATTTTTTAAAGTTTTCCACATAAAAGTGAAGTATAGTGCTGCCACCTATGAACACGATTAAAGAAGTACACCAGCTGAATTCAGTAATGTCAGTTAACAGCAGAGACTCCTGAACAATCACCAAATCTGACATTAAATTTGTAATCGATAAATTCCAAAAAAGGAAAGGAAACAAACATTTGAGTCTGAAATTTAAAAAAATTATGTAATTGTAGTTGTCATTATTAAAATTTATGTATAGTTTTGTTGCCCCAAATTTTCTGAACTTGCAATTGGGCTATACAAGCAGACCACAAGTAAAAGAATCCCATGACGTCCCAGATTAGTAAGCAAAATCTCTAGTCATCGCTGTTTGGACCTTTTGGATAAGAGCACTGACCAATGAGTCCATTAAAAATTTCAGTATTTTCCCAAACTTTATTTCTACAATAGAGTTTCTAATTACTCTATACAATCAAGCCAAAGGTATCGCTGTTGTACAGTGGAAAAGAAACAGACCACTAAATCAAGTGAGATAGTGTGCACTGAAGTAAACAATAAACATTCGTGAATAAATAACCTAACCACAAATCATACCGTTACTAATTCCAGAGAATGCCATACCGTTCCTATAGGAGTTTGTTCGGAAATTCCTTGAGATTGTAGAGGATACAAGCTGCTTTACTTGTTTTTATATGTAAGGAGCTGGGTTGATTCCATTGATGATCATGTTCGAGATTTAATGCAAAGTCTTGAATTTCAATTTTAAAGCCCAAGAGATAACAAATTTTATTTTCTTGTTTCCATGGTAACGTATTATTACACTATATGATTATATTACTTTTGAAAGTATTGATTGCAGTTACATGTAATTTGAAAGAAAAGAAAATAAGCCAGGATAAACTTAATGATATATAAGTATCATATGGATTTTATTTGTTTACAATATTCGATCAGAATGTTAATAGTTTTCTAAAAAATTCGAGTAATGAGAAAGTATTGCGTTCTAGTACCCCAAAATACTATTCATGAAGGGTTAGAGCATCAAAAATTTTCCAAAGGAAAAATAAATATATTTCTGAAAGGTTTTTTCACAAAAGCCTTTACATTTTCTGTAGAAAATTAAGAAAGTTTGTATTGTGAAGAAATCTCAATGATTTTGTCAGTTATCTGCAAACCAACAACAAGACTTGATTTCTATTTAACTGTTTACAAACATGCCAAGAAGCTGTAATTTGCCAAGTGTACACAGTAATCAAGTAAGAAAGTTTTAAATTCTAGAAATATATCCTTATGTAAGTGTGGATTTTTAGAGCCCTATATCATTAACACATCATTCAAAATGAAAAGGAGGAGACTTATTTTTTAATATTTCGTGGTAGTCTAAAGTTTTCTAATGTATATTTTCCAGTAATCATTTTCAGAAATACCACTTGGCTTATGAACTTTTACATTGTTTTTCCCAATTTGTAATCCAAGACACAATAAATAATTTATACATATTGCCTAATTAAAACCTTATGAATATATTCTTTTTCTAACACTTGTTTTAACATCACTATCTTGCAATTCTCAAATATTTTTAGCTTTCAGCACTCTCTTACCAAGTAAAACTTTGCAGCATACCTGTAAAGTAGAAGCATATCTGCCTGCATTAGAACTTTTTTATTTAATCAATTGTCAAAACACAGTGAAAACTGTATGCGATGTTTGGAGAAGTACAATCTACACATGTGTTCTTGTGTTCCAGAATTCTTACCTTGTTCTTTTCTCATACGTAGTTGAATTATGAATAATGGCACCAACAAACATGATTTCCAACACTTGAAAACTAAAAATGTTTGTTTCCAAATAATGGAAAACGGTACTTGCAATGCCAAATAAACTGACAGATGTCATTTTATTGTGTTGCTAACATATAGCAATCCTCATCTCTGAGCTCTACACAACTAGTAAGAGAAGAGTTCAACAAAATGTCTACTCAGTCCCATAAATAACATTTACATCAAGAAGCAACCCCAGAAATCAAAAATCAAGAGCTTGAAAGTTGTCGTGAACTCCTAAATTTACCATTAAAGTACAAACATATACTAATTACTAACATACCATTTTTAAATAATCAATTTGAAATACATTTGGGTATTCTTCAAACCTCAATTTAAAAACAATAAACTTACTAAAATATTTATTCCATTTATGAATTTTTATTTATTCTTTTAGTTATTCAATTTTCCTTCTTAAACCCGCCCATAACATTTCATGGAATTCTGCAGTGCTGCAGCACACGTTTAGAGCTTGAGTTCAGTTTGTATTTTTTATTTTCATATTATATGACCAAGCATACTGTAATATACGGAATAACAAGAAAAACATATTAACAAAATATCAATGTTAAAAAAAATATTAGTTACATCCATTCTTCCTTTAAATTTCAACTGTTGAGACCAAAGTTAAAAACGATTGTAACTATGGTTTTGTGAGCTGATCTCTTGGTATATAGAGAATATGAAGTGTTAAAACACCATATACTTTCTCGCCCTTTAGTAACGGTCACGTAATATTATCCGGTGTTTCTATCTTTATCAACACATCTCAGTCATAAGCGCTGACAACAATGGGCACGTATTTTCTTTTCAAGTCTTCCTAAGGAGCTCCAACGTCGCCACCGCTGGCGCGCTTCTGAACACCGCGACTCGTAGCAGAGCATTGGTTTAAATGGAGATCTCAAAATCTTTAAATGGAGCGGGTTTGCGCCGACGACGAACGAACAACATTGCGACGACCAACAAAGGGACCGCAGCAGGAAAAACACCGCGACCAGCGGTACAGTGGGAAGCGGGAGTCCGCCGTTGTTGCCGCAGCGGCGAAAACCCGCCGCACGTGGGAAGGTTGCCGCCGGTGCGGCGTTTTACTTGCTGAGGTCCCTTTGTTCGTCGTCGCCGGAGGGTCGGCGAAACCTACTCCTGCAGAACCCACCCTTTTCCACGGCGGGCGGCGGTGTGGCCGTGTCGGTGTCTGAAGAGCCCTGCCGCTTGACGGACGCGCGCCGCCGTGGCAAGGCGCCCTAAAACCGCCATTTTTGCTAAAAATAAAGGTGGTCGGAAGTTGGTGTGAAACCTGTATATATTTCATTAATTTGAAGCAGAAATTACGCAAAACTACTCATTTTTTTCAAAAAATTGTATGTTACCTTTTTCGAAGAGCTATTTTTGTACAACAGGTTACATTGGTAACATACAAGCTAATGACGGCAAAACGTCCGTCTGTGAACACTAATGGCACCATTATTATCCATGCGTAGGATATTTTCCAATCCCGGCACAAGTCAAAGCTTTGAGATTGTAAAATCATTCTTTGATGTTTGGGGTTACTTTACATGAAGCCCTTCGGACATTAACAAAATTTTCTCCAAAACTGCTTCAAATTATTTAATTAAATTTCTTGTACGAATAGAATAACATATAAAGTGGCATTGGTCCGATTTTCACCGTTATCTCCGAATTTTTGAAAATTTCAAAAGTATTTTTTTTAAATCTTCCTACAACTACAAATTGAAGATTTTTTTTCACATATGACATTTGTTGTGCAAAATTAGTTGTGTCATTAAGGTTCAGTACGTTTTTTGAAACTTTTAATAGTTTTCGCTCTATTTACGTGCAGTATTTGCAATTTTAAAAAGTTACAGAAACAAGAATTTCTCAAAAACTGCTCCAATTTTTTTCTTTAAACATTTGGTAGGGATAGTGCTAAATGTATTCTGTGAGATGATATAAAACGCCATTTTGCTCGATTCTTTTGTTTTGTCTCTCACATCATTAATATTTACATTAGCGGAGATTTGTTCACATCATATTAATGAGTACCTGTGCTTTCAATAACGTCAGATAAAGTTTCTAGAAAACTTAACCATTTTCTGTGAAAATTAGCTCAATATTATCCATTTTCAGAAACGTTCAAACGCCATTTTCTCAAAAAGGCTCAAAATTTTGTCTTCAAACTTTTCGAAGGGATAGTGCTAATTGCACTGATATATAACGTAAAGTTCATTTTTGTTTTTTCTAAAATTAAACAAATGTAATTTTTTTTTGGAAGATCTCTCTCACCGTTAATATGCACATTTCCAGCAATTTGTAAACACTATAGTGTTTGAGGGATAATGTGTGTTAAATGACTTCTAATAAAGTTTTTGGAAAACTGAAAAATTTTCTGTGAAAAAGAGCTTCAAATTTCGAATTTACAATAGCGCTTAAAGGCTATTTTCATAAAAACACATCAAACTTTTTCAAAGCAAATTACCATTTAGGTTGAGGTTTTATTGTTCTTTAATATTCTTAAAATAATATTTCCGTTCTACTATTAGGAAACCGAAAAATTTAGAAAATGACAAAAAATGTACTTAGGGTGGCGATATATGGCAGATGACAAGGGTATGTGTGGCAAGTCCAAGAAGCCAGCCGAGAACAAAGGAAAAAGAAAAGTAATAAGGGAAAGTCTGTGCCAATCTGTAGCACCACTAGTTACTTTCCAGTATACGTACGTATGTACGGAGTAATATACGCAGTATAGGGAAAGTTATGTAACGCTGCGAAAGATTTCAACGGAAATACACGTTTTGGGGTCCCCTGATACCAAAAAATTAGTTGTTTTTTTTTAACGTCCATCTGTCTGTGAACACTACAGGCGCCTGAACCATGCGTAGGATTTTTTCTAAATTACAGAAACCCCGATCTGGCTAGAGTCAAATCTTTGAGGTTTGAGAAAATGTTTTTAAAATTTGGGGGTCCTTTACATGAAGCCCCTCTCCCGGGACATTTTCAAATTTTCTCTAAAATGGTTCCAAAATTTTTCTTTAACTTTTATGTAAGAATTGAGTAAAATGCACTTATAAAGGTAGCATAGGTCCGATTTTCAAGTTTAACTCTGAATTTTCGAAAATTTCAAATTTTTTCGGATGCTTTCTTACAAATTGAAGATAAGAGATTTTTCTTTCAAATGAAATTTGTTCTCATAGTGAGTTCTTTCATTAAGATCATGTACATGTTTTTGTAAATTTTAGTAGTTTTCTCGCAATATTGTCAGCAATATACTATTTTAAAATATTAGCAAAACAAAAAGTTCTCAAAAATAGTTCTAATTTTTCTCTTAACTTTTAGTGGGGATAGTGCAAAATGTACTCTATAAGTTGATACAGACGCCATAGTGATCTATTCTGTTGTTTTTCCTTCAAAAATTACAAAAATGTAGTTTTTCACTCGTCTCTCACGACGTTAACATTTTTATTAGCGGCAATTTGTTCACATATTTATGAGTACATGTTCTTTAAATAATGTTAAATAAAGTTTTTTTTAAATTTAACTTTTAGTAGGGATAGTGCAAAATGTACTCTATAAGTTGATACAGACGCCATAGAGATCTATTCTGTTGTTTTTCCTTCAAAAATTACAAAAATGTAGTTTTTCACTCGTCTTTCACGACGTTAACATTTTTATTAGCGACAATTTGTTCACATTATATTTATGAGTACATGTTCTTTAAATAATGTTTCTCGAAAACTCGACAGTTTTCTGTGAAAACTAGCTCTAAAAATTTCGCATTTTCAGAAATGCTCAAAAGCCATTTTCTCTAAGATTGCAGTAAATTTTTTTTCAAACTTTTGGAATGGATAGTGCTAATTGCACTCTTTAATATGATGTGAAGTTCCGTTCGGGGTCCTTTTTTTGTTTTTTCAAAAGTTGCATAAATGTAATATCTTTGAAAGATCTCTCATGCACATTTCCAGCAATTAGTAACCACTATTTGCATTTGTGAGTTAATGTGCTTGAAATGACTTTGAATGAAGATTTTATAGACTCAAAAATTTTCTGTGAAAAAGAGCTTCAAATTTTGAAGTTACAGCTGCGCACAGCGCTATTTTCTTAAAAATGTCTCCAGATTAAAAAAAATCTACGACGACGTTCTGTTTTTTAATATTCTTAAAATATTTCCGTTTTTCTATTAGGAAATCGAAAATTAATTTTCTTTTAAAGAAATGTGCTTACAGCTGCAGCGGGCGAGAGTATGTGGCAAGTTCGTAAAGCCAACCGGACCACAGGAAATAGAAACCTAATACGGGAAAGCCTGTGCCATTCTGAAGTACCACTACTTCGGTATGAAGGACGCACAAAACATGGATTCTGGCAACATCACGTGTTAGAGGTTTCTTTTTCTATATTTCACCATTGGATTTATCCACTTTTCCTTAACACGGCTCGGCAATAAGTTTTTGAGTCGAAAATTCGCCGTTTTCTGGCACACGGATTACAATACTTTCTCTTCTTGTATTGGTAAGTGTGAGAAAGTAAAAATTAATAGTTTTCATGCAAAATACTATAAAAAGTATTGATTGTATGAGAGTATACAATCTCAAGATTTTGTTAGAAGTACATTTGAGAATCTACAATATTATAAAGTTTTATGAGTAGGCTATTCTCTGCATTCAGTTTCCCCTATAACTTATATGGACTCTTAATTATAAAGAATACTTCTTTTGAAGCACTGATCAATGGAGGAGGAAGGTTTGATCCAGGTACATCTTTGTAGGATGGACACAGTAATATATTATTTACATTTAATATGATGTTCTTAATATATAATTTTATGTTTCCAGTTTTTTTTTTTAAATATATTATTTTGAGAATTTAAGATTTAAATTAGAATCAAAAACATTTTTAATTTAAAATAAATTCATATTTTTAAGTTATTTCCATAATTTAAATAGTTTTGATTGCAAATTATATTATTTTTAAGGGTTGTAATGCATAATATCAGTCAAAAGTTTAAATCAATCCACATAATTACAAAATGTGTTACAATCAAACATCAATCTTGTATTGTAGGTCAATGTAAATTGATCTTACAATCCTTAATCCTTAACGTTACAATCCTCTATCATTTGTACTCTATGTAGACAATCGGCAAATCATTTTAAAATTATGTTATTACATAAGTTCAAGAGAGGAAAATTTACATTTCTGAACAATATACTTCAATGGAACCTCAAAGATACCTAGGGAAACTTGTAATGAAATATTATCGATACATTTAAATTAATAAACCAAGAATTGAGGCAAACAATTAAATAATTCACAAAGGACAAAGGTTTATTGATATACAATATAGAAATAATAGCAACAAGAATAAAAATAATGATAAAGAATGATTGTCCATTAGTTGAACAATAGACATAAAATTATGTAGAGAAACAATTTATTATTTCATAACTTGTACAAAAAGTAATTTCTTGTGCCCTGAAACACACTTCACATTTAATGACAATCAAGAAAGTGAACTACAAATTTGGGTCAAATCAATAATCAAGTCTATTGAAAATACCATTACATAAGACATTAGAAAGTGCTCTGAACATGCATCAAGTACACTGTATAGTTCTCCAAATTCCTCTTTAAATCATTGGTAAACCTTGTTTTCTTACTTTTTCTCTCTTGAAATATCATTTTTTAGTAATGTGTTGCACTGCTTTATTTTCAATAAACCATCAAAAATAGTGTTTAAAAAAATTAATTTTCACTAGTAGTTCAGATATGTGAAAAATAATGTACAACAATCCTCAATATGCCGAGAAATCCAACACTTTTCACATTCATAGCAAGTTTCACGACATTTCCCACTTTTTGAGTTTCTGTTTCCAAAATTTTAATTCGTGTTACATCTTCTAGAAGAAGCCTGTTCATCGTCAGTATGTGTTCTTTATGGCACATGTATTGGCCCTGTTAAAGATTAAATTCCTCAATTGGCAGATCATATTGTCTTTGTAAATTTGTCATTATCATTTTAACAAACTTAAAAAGTGGCTTGTATACATTTTTTCAATTTTTACTTGAGTTACAAATGAATTGAATGGACAGGGACTAAATATTGGAGTTTAGAGATCTTTCATACACACTTCATAATATGAATTACTCTGAACTAAGAATGCTGTGAACTACTTGTAAATTTAATATATTCAATCAGTAATACAGCATCACTAAACCACAATATTTATGATAATGGACACATTCTCATCAAAGTATTTGTAGGAAGGTTTGGCTGACTGATGACTGGGAACCCCATCAAAGTATGCAAATGGGATAAATTGAGTATTGTTGTCCAAACAATGTAGGCAATTCAATGTTGATGTTTATAAATTCAATTTACTGAGCTTTAATTCGTTGAACTGTATAAACCTTAAAAGCTCATTTCCCTCTCTTATTGGTGCACATTACTTCTTTCTATACCCTAAAGATTTCAAGGTTCAAAAGGAAAAAACAACTTAAGAAATTCTTAAAACTTAAAGAAATCACTTGAAATAACAGATTTACTGAACTCTCCAGTATCATATCCCATTCAAAATTATTACTGGGATTTCAAAAGTAATGTGCAGAGAATTGATGAATTGAACACATTCATTATGATTTCATGTAAAAGAACTCATGAAAATCTAATGGAAATATTTATCCTTTAAATCATTCTTCAGATTACCATTCTGCAAGTATTTGTAACATATTTCTTGATAGAAAAGTAAGCCCTTCATCTTTCTTTGAAGTTGGAATCAATCCCACAAAACTTATTATTGCTTTTGAAATTGTTATTGATCAAAATTATATGTTGGATAGTGTGGCATAAAATCCAAACAACCTCTTGTATATTCACTGTCATTAGGGTCACGAATATTATGAGAACCCTGAGAACACTCTTCATAAAATGGAGGGGCTAAAACAAACAAGAAAATTACTATCAAGCAAATTCACATAAATAAAGTTTTGATTGTCAATTAATTCCTAATACTTACGAAGTTCTGGATAAGGAGAAGGTGTTTCAGTAGGTACTGGTTGTATTTCCAATTCATCAGCAATTTTTACTGGTTGTGGTGTAAGTGGAATAGGAGACAGAATAGGCCAGAACTGCTTCAAAGGCACTGTCCCCACCATTATGGGAGTGCTGACCACAACATCTCTACGAGCACTATACAGTTCAGCTCTAGCCTATGAACAAAAAGTCAAGACAATATGTGAATTCAATAGTGGTAAATCTTAAAATGTGTTTTTAATTTCCTTTGGGGATTGTTCTGGCACACTGAATGCAAATTATAAATTAATACAAACAATTCTGGTAGTTTGTATTGTGGATTATATATGTGCCAGTTCTTAGTTTCCTTCCCTTTGCATTTGCCCTTGAATTGATTGCCATTTGCCTACAAATTGATGTATAATGACTAAAGTAAATAAAGGATCCCTGGTAGCCTCATTATGAATACTTTTATGGATTGGATTTGAACAAGTAATCATTGGTCAATATAATGTAGGGAAAAAAGATTATGTCTGTCACATATACTAAGTAGGCAAGTATATCCATGTATTTCCTTCTTATTATAAAGAGGAGAGCATTTCAAAATAAATTATATTAACATATGCAACCAATTAATTCACAACTTGATAAATATTAGGGAAATCAATCAAGTTAACTGACAATACGGTATTTCCAGTGGAGAGGAACTTTGAAAGTAACCTATCCACTTTTATTACAAGTGTTATAAAATCTAAGTGACTGTTAGAAAGCATTTAAAGTCAATTATTGTTTGGATAAAACTGTCTCAGACATGAACAGAGTTAAAAATACGCATAGGAAAACTGATACAAAACCACCAGTAGATAATCAATTATGAAGCCGATCTTTATAAGATTGAATAACTACATCGATTTAGCCCAATCACTAAAATAGTGGAATTAACACAAAACCTGCTCTTCCAAAATTAGGGTTAGAAGTGGACCAAAAATGCTAATCATGAAAGAAGAGTAATGCTTCTAAACTTTATATACAGCCTAAAAATGAGTAATAATTGGAAACAAAATCAGCAAGGAAAAAGACTTCAAATACAAATCTGCAAACTTAAGAATTCTACATACATGTCATTTTAATGTCCTACAAAGTATGATCTAAAAGTAGTAGAATTGCATTTTTGTAGGCCAGACAAACCCACAGAGCGGAGTCAGTTTGTCTGGGCATGGTGGAGGTGGGGTACTCTCATTAACAAAACGTGACCCTCCAAAGCTCCAAAGTAGCCCTTTAGAGAGTGAGCACCAGTGGCACGAGTTCAACACCTAATTAAAGATATGTCATTAATTTAATTTTGTGATTATAAAGTGAATTTTAAGAATGAAAGCATTTATTACTATTAGCTATTTGAGAAAATTATAATTTTTGCCATTTCACAATATAATTTAAATTTTGGTCTTTTCTGTGTGTATAAAAATGTATCAATAACAGTAGAAATAATATTTTTTAAACAGATCAGTGTTTTGTGCCCAATTGAGAAAATTCTTAAATTATTCACACAGTCTTGTGTCATTGTACTTTGTAAATAATTTTTAATCAGCTTTAATTTTGAAAGTGTTCTCTCGGCTCTGACAAGCATAACAAACTATTGAAAATAATGTCAATACTGTACACACATCGGGAGAACTTGTTAATATTGAGCAATGTGCAGTTATTAATACATTTGCTTGATCTTTAAGATCTCATAGATCTTAGTTTTTAAATTTGAATTTTTCAAACGCGCAAAGACAATAACTGAAATGACAAGTTTTCCATTACATCTGCAGGGTGTTTTCATTGAAGTTTTTATGCCTCTTTAAAAATTTCATCATCCGAAAGAGTGGCTGAATCTTTTTTAAAATTGCCACTATTTTTCAATCCAAAAAATATTCACCCCAACTGGTTAATGGGAATATCTAGGTAGCTACAATAAATATTAAGTTTGTATTTTTTTGGCCATCAGTGAGTCATGGATCAAACAAAGTTCGCCAAAATGTTGTTTAGTTTTCTTCACTCATCATTAAATTTCACCTCTACTTTCCAGACTAGATTATTTTGTTGCGTCAGTTTTCAAATCGTCATAGTAATTCCAACTGTATTCAATTCTTCTTAAGCTCCTTCATTCTGTGCATTTTCCAATTCCAAATTAGAGCTTTGAAGATATTTCAAAACAGTGTCGGTTGATTTGAGAATTTTTGAAATACATTACTTCATGCTCTTTCATCAAAATGCATCCCTCACCATGCTGATTAATCTTCGACTTTCTTCAATCCTATTAAAGATTCATTAATGTTTATTTTTAGCAGTTAGCTGGATTCATTTTTCTCAAAATTCACATAATAATTCACATTTCCTTAATTGGTCAACTTTTGACATGTCTTGCATTGTATCTGTCATAATAATCTAGTGATGCTCCAACTGCACATACTTTCTCACGTTATTTCTAAATTGGCAATTTTCGAAAATTCAGAGAGTTCAATGAAAATGAGACCACCACCATGCTTTAAGCATTCCTTCTTCTATATATGAAAAAAATTGAATGAAAAAAAATGGAGCTGTTTTTGAGAAAATAATGTTTTTAGAAATGGCATAAATTTCACGCACAAATCACGTGAAAACAATCCTATTTTTTAAAGTTGTACTTGACACCTTTTGTAAAGCTTATTTTTTAGAACAAACTAAGGCCAAATTCGCTATCATCAATTCTGTGGTTTGAAAATGTTAACTATTTGCCAATTTCGAAAATTCGGAGAGTTCACTGATAATGGGACTAACACCATATTTTTAACGTCTGTTGGTATATATGAGGAGAAAAAAAGGACAAAATTTTGAGCAGTATTTGGGAAAGAAATGTTTAAAAAATGTGATTGCCTATATATGGCGCAAAATCTATTTTCGAAAAATTAAACATGCCCTTATTTCAAGATCTGTTTTTAAAGGACAGATTTCGTTGATGGAAAAAATTTCTATCAAAGAAGGAACACCCACTAAATAATTGTACTTTTGTAATTTTAAAAAACAAATCTGGAATTTCAAAGAACACGAGACCTGTCCCAAGCTTTTTTTTCATTTAAGCTCATTTAAGCGTTCTTTAAAAATAACAGTTGCTGTATACCAGATCCATTATACTGTAAACAGTTACCTTGTTACAGTATCATGGATCTGATATATTGCAACTGTTCTTTTGTTTCGTATACGCTATCTGCGGACTAATCAAAAAATTAGGAGCCGTTTAAAAAAAATATTTGAGGCATCATGTAAAATATGCTCAAAAATCAAAATATCTGGTTTAAACTCCCCAAAGCCTCGAGTTCGTTCATCGATCAGGGAATATCAATTTTGATGAAAATCGCTTGAATGGTTTAGGCGTTAGCGTTGACGACCGACGGACGGACGAACGTATAGCCGTTAATCGATATCAAGGACTCTCAAAACGTAAATTCTGGCTACACCACATGTTAGAAGAAGTAATTTACTATATTCAACAGCAGACTTTTCCCCTTTTACCAGAGACCGGAAATGAAAATTTTTCTGCCGAAAATTCGTTGTTTTTAGGCTTAGTTAAAAAAAGTTTAAAAAAACAAACAATGCTTAATGTATTTATTTCTATGATTTTATCACAGTTTCAGGTAAAAGACTATTTTGTTTTGAATTTGGGTCCCCAGCCATGGTCCTGTCAGAGCCTGTGGAACTTGCGTCACTGGTGAGCACATTATCCCGTGAACCACTCGAGAAGTGTCGTAACTGAGGCTAGGAGAGTTATGTAATAACATTTTTTTTATTACATTTAATATACATTTAATTTACATACAATATATGCATATTGTAATACGTACACCAAAGAAGATTTATTTATTTACGTCAAAAACAGTTAAAAATCTGTGTGTGACGTGCTATGGGGAGAAGTTAATTTGAAGTTACATTTATGTTCAGAAGCAAAACAAGAGGCCATCTCAGCATTTGCTCGAAGATCAGGGGAAGTGGATGAAAACCTGATCCAGATGGGGGGTCATTGACCAAGAAGCTGAAGTACAGTACTTGTTACATTTTCTTTACAATTATACAACCCAAGATTCATGCATTAAAAAAACCCAATTTTTTATAGTGCACGTTTTTACACATTTTGGGAGTCTTTATAATTGCATAATATTTAGAGCATATTGTTAGAATGGTACATATTTTTCTATTTTCGCAGGAAAATGTCTCAAAAATGGAATTATTAATTACTTTATTGATGCAGTTACTACTTTTTTGTAATAATAGAATTAACATTAATAATAACAATAATAAGTTAATAATAGTAACTTTTCATTAGGAAGTGATTACAGTTTGTGTATGATATTGACATATCGGTTTAAATATGTTTTTGACGATGAAAAGCCTCTTCAGATTGATTGGCAAGACCTTTTGGTCAGGCATTGAAGAAACATTGTCACTGGAAGAAATAGCAAACTTTAAATATGCACCAATAACCTATGTGTTGGCGTGAACGTTGTTTTCCCAGTATAAATCAATTTTGAAAAGCAACAGACAATCGTTTCTGTTTTCAAACTTTAAAATGATAACTGTTATACACTACAACAGAAAAAAATTAAGTGACTCAGCAACAGTTCCAGTCCACAATTCAGGTGAGTTATCATAATTTGCATTGCTTTGGTAGACTATATGTTACTTAGATCTTCAGTGATAAATAAAGCAGATGAAAATAACAAATTATATTTTCAATTATTTTATTAGGTTTTGTATGGTACATATTTTCTGCGTAGTTAATACATATCTACTAATTAATGCTAATTATTATGTTAATGCTATTAAATCTCATAATTACATACATATTTCACATTTTTTTTAACGCATAACTATCGCATTTTAACGCATAACAGTCCTAGTCGTAATGTTCAGCATGGAAAGGAAACTCGAGCAGGGCTAAGATTTGAAGTTTTACATCGTACAAAACCGCACGGAAACCTTCGATAGTATGTTCAAGCATTTTAAGAGTGGCACAAGTTTTTTCAGAGTGAGGAGGGAGTTCGTTGAGGATGATCAGAGCGTCCATCGCCCGTCAGTGTCCAAGGGTCGACGAATATGTAACGAAAGGGAAACAACTTCTGGACTCTGATCGTCGGTTATCGATTTGTCTGATTAGTGAGGAGTAAAGCCTTTCTTACGG